TTTAGTTGGAAATCTAAAAAGAAAAAGAAAAAAAAGAAAAAACTATGAGAACTCATCTACAAAAACAGAAACAGACTCACAGACATAGTAAACAATCTTATGGTTACCCAGGAAAGGGGGTGGGAAGGGATAAATTTGGGAGTTTGAGATTTACAAATGTTAGGCGCTATATATAAAAATAATTTTAAAAAATTTTCTGCTGTATAGCACAGGGAACTGTGTTCAGTATCTTGTAATAACCTTTAATGAAAAAGAATATGAAAACAAATATATGTATGTATATGCATGACTGGGACATTGTGCTGTACACCAGAAACTGACACGTTGTAACTGACTGTACTTTGATTAAAACAAACAAAAAACATACGTAAAAAAAAAAACAACCTGCTGATACTCATTTGTACTCAAGTCCCCTAAACAATCAGTTTTTTTTTAATTTTTAAAAATTAATTTAATTTTTATTTATTTATTTGGTGTTTTTGGGGGGAGGATATCATTAGGTCTATTTATTTACTTATTTTTTGATGGAGGTACTGAGTATTGTACCCAGGACCTAGTACATGTTAAGCATGTGCTCCAACACTTGAGCTACACCCTCTACCCCTTAAAATTTTTAATTTTTTATACAAATTTTAAAGGTTACTTTCCATTTACAGTTATTACAAAGTATTGGCTATATTCCTTACATTGTACAATATATTGTTGAGCCTATCTTACACCCAATAGTTTGTACTTCCCACTCTCCAACTCCTGTATTTCTCCCTTTCCCCCTACCCCTGACCCTGCCCACCCCACTGGTAACCACTAACTTAAACAATCAGTTTTGAGGTCCTCTATTTGCCAAAGATACCACCTAGATTAAGGTAGTTGAATGTTCATAGCACTTCTGGGGGTGGGGGGATAAAAGCCAAATCAAGACACATCACACGTAAGATGAAGATGTTGAAGAGCTGATTTTAGTTACAATTTAAATGGGGGAGGGAAAGGAAAGGCATGTTTAAGATATATGTAGGTCCCTTTTCTTCTAGCAATTTAGACTCTCTGGGTGTAAGAGGCTGAAGCTGTGGGGAGAGAGAAGTGCAGCCACATCAGAAGAATGGGTGGTGGGGAAACCCTCTTTCTTCCCCAAGACCTGCGATCCTGGCAACTGCAACCTAATGAAATAACAGCCTATATACTCTTAAGTTATAATGTGCTTCTTCTTTCCTAATCTTCTGGTGCCTCATTGGCACTGTAATCTAACCCCTAACTATAGAAATATCAGTTAAAAAAAAACTTGCAAAATCAACTTACTGAGAGGTAACATCTCTACTTCATAATTACTTTTCTTTGCTGACTTTTCAATAAAACACAGAAACATACATAGGTTTTTTTTAAAATACAACAAACATTAACATAGATAATAAAATTAACTGGCAAAATTGGTATAAACTGTTTTTCATAGTATTTGTAAAAGGCAAGCTCAATTTGGAAAGATGTCCTCTGAAACTGGGTCAACTAACCTGGCATTTACTGATAGTTCTGAACCAATCTCCAAAAACAGTCTAATAAAATGCTCTTTCAGTGTGGTAACTGGAGTTGTTGATACTACAGCAGAGTTGTTCTAAGTATCTCTGTATTCTGACTTGTCAGTTACAGCTTGTGACTTCTAAAAATAATTAGAAGCACTAGTGACATTTAACAGAGACAAGCTCACCTGTTTACTGAATATTAACAAACTGAAAACTTACTTCCCACCCACAGTAAAACAGCCCATTTGGGGGTTGCTGAGTAAGTCTAACTCCACTGATTAAGGATTAGAAACAAAAAAAATTCCCCCAAAAGGAAGATTTCTATTAATTGTTCTATATGCCAAAGTAATCACGCCACTGCTTAATTTTTCTCTCTAGAGAAAAACCACCTTAACTTTCTCTACACTCATTACAAGCAAGATTTTGAGTAAAATCAAATAAATGAAACTGAGTACTGTAGCTCTTGAAGCATTCCAGAAAAAGTTCATAAAAAATATGGTGTATGTAGCTTTGAGCCAAAGAATATACAATTAAGATTTCCAAATTTGTATTATTTTAGTGAAATCTTATAGAAAAATTACTTCCTTTGATCAGAGAAATTCATGGAAGAGCTGAAAGACTCCAAAGAAAACACTAACGTATTCTATGAAGTCTCTGAGTTCCAGTAATAAATGAGGTATAATTTGCCCTCTGAAAACAGCATAAAAAGGATGTCCAGGCTACCCATGACTTTCATTTATTTATTTATTAAACTTTTAACTTTTTTAAAATTGAGTTATAGTCAGTTTACAATGTTGTGTCAATTTCTGGTGTACAGCACAATTTTTCAGTCATACATAAACATACATGTATTCATTTTCATATTCTTTTTCACTGTGAGCTACTATAAGATCTTGAATATATTTCCCTGTGCTATACAGTATAAAAAATATGGAATGCTTTATGAACTTGTGTGTCATCCTTGCACAGGGACCATGCTAATCTTCTCTTCTCGTTCCAATTTTAGTATATGTGCTGCCGAAGCAAGTACTACCCATGACTTTTAAAAACCTCCAGTGGAAAGTTCTGCTTTCCACTACCCTTACATTCAACTCCAATATCAGGCATCAGAATGAACCAAATGATAACAGCATAAACAAATGTGCTGTCACCCTAGATTCTAATTTGTATTACTTGTTTTATATTTGATTCTTTCAAAACAATAGCAAAAACTTTTGGCACTTTGCAAAAAATGGTTATATGTAGTCTGTAGAGATTCTAGTTTAATGTTTTAAAAGTGCCTCACTTTTACAATACCTTATTAAAAATTTTGGTAATTTTATGAGGGCTGTTAAAACACAATCAGGAAGCTTAAACACACACACAAAAGTGACTAAACATCAGTGGATTAAGGACTGAACATTATAATTGCTTTGCATGAAGAATTTCACTAACAAAGACTGAGAATTTACAGTGTATAAAACACTGTGGGTTCCTAACACCTAGGAGCTAATACCTTAAGTGAGGAAGGTATACATAAATATCTACACTATAAGACAGTTGTTAATAGGTATTTAAAGTACAAAATATAAAAAAAAATATGGGAAAGATGAACCTAATTTCAACTGGAGAATTCTTGGATATCTGCTTCAGGAAGGCAGATTTTGAGTTGGGAGTTATAGAAGGGGTATTCTGGAAACAGATAACGGAGGTAGTGGGAGAAGAGGGAAAGAATTACTACACAGCCAAAGAGATGAACAAGTAACTGCCTCAGAGCTGTCTTTAGGGTTGATGCTCAAGCCTCTTGTTCACTGGGTCCATATCTAGTCTCCCTCTTTTTTATCAGGTTTGTTGAAGTTTCCTGTTTTAATTTCAAAACCTCTGCCTAGCCTTATCTGATTTTAACATCCACTTGCCTCACTCAGTCTTGGGCTAACCCACCACTATAGAATACAGATTCTCCTGCCTGACTGGAGATGGAACCTCATCTTATGGACAAGGAGACAGAGCGTTCTCCTTGCCAGAGAAGTAACTTGCCAGAACTGATGCCAAAGCCTGTAATACACTGTCTCCCACAAATGACAACATTCAGGCTAAGTTAACTTGAACTTTAAAGGCTGGACAAAAGGAGTAAGAGATTTTCTTTTTTCATTAACAGAAGGCATCACAATCTATAATTTTTTAATGTCCATTCTTAATATTTTAAAATTTAGTGCACTCTGGGAAGATTGACCATGTTTTAAAAAATCTTTTTTCTGAGGTTTGCGATGGCTATCAAAACCTTTTACAAATAACTTAAAGGAACCAGATTTAACAAAACCCAAAGTTTTAATATCTAAACCAGGAAAATGGAAATCTAGTTAATGAATTGAAAAATAACCACCAAATCAACAAGTAAACCAAAACAAAACACCCAATTCCTACAAGTAATAATAGCAAATACATTTACAGTGCTAACGATGTGCCAGGTACTATATTAAGCAATTTGCATATACTGCAACAATCCTCTGAAGTGGGTTGATTATTATCCCATTTTACACCGGAGGAAACCAAGGCACCAAGAAGCTAAGTAACTTGCCTAAGGTCACGTGGCTAATAATTAACAAAATCAGAATTCAAACTTACACAGTCTGGCAGCAGGCTCGATGCTTTTTATTACTATGTGGTATTTTATATTCTGAATGTGTTTACTTAATAAAATTATGACACGATACTATAAAAGTGAGAAGTGTATAACCAAAATTGTCCTATTTTTCAGACATTTTTAAATGTATTTTTCTACAATCCATTGCCTTATTTAGCTTCTGTCATGTGGTCTGCTCTTTCAGGGCTATTTACTATGGCTTTGTGTTCAGCTGCAATGGTCCTTTCCTTTACAGGCAGCTGCTATGAAGCAGAATCATCATTTTTTTCAGGATCACGATTTTAAAGAATGAAACTTAGATGGACTAGGGCAGAGCATTTATTCACAGGGAATATAAATGCATCACTTCATTGAACTCCATCCTTACCTACCATCCCCTTTCTCCTCAATAAACATCATGGAGAGAGAAAGGAGAAAAAGTGCTATAACAAACCACCCCACCCTTAAAGCTATGTTAAAGAGGAAGGAAAACATTATAAGTAAAAGGAAAATGCAGGTGATGAAAATAATAATGTACTTCCGTCTGTAAGACAGTATCATGTGCTCTCACTAACCAATCTCAAATTTAAATTCTAATTTAAATAAAGACTTAATGCCTACTCTAAACAAAGTTTCCCTATGTTGGTTGTCTTCCTTGTCCTCATAATCAGTTAACAGGATAAATGCCCCTAAAAGTAGAGACCTCTTGGTCCCAGATCTGTCCTGAGTCTTTCCTTCTAACTCTACATTCTCACTTACGCATTGAGTATGCTAATGACATTTCCAAATTCCTGTCTCTAGCCAAGTCTGTCTCCTGCTACCAGGAGATGTTAATTCAACTGCCTATTATTTCTCTCTTCCTGGAGGTCCCATTGGTATTTTGAAATGTCCAGTGCTGAATTCATGTCCAACATTGACTTGGACTCCCCTTCTTTCTCCTCTCCCTATGCTGAATCTATCACCAGATCTTATTTATTATGCCTCTAAATTTCTCTTGACTTTGTTCACCTCTCTCAATCTCACTACCGTGCTAATTCTGGCTACTATTGCTTCTAATTGTAATAGCTGCCTCAAGTTTTGCTCCCTCATTCAATCCATTTTCTAGATTTTTCTTAAAACCCTTAAATGGTCTCCAGTGCTCTTAGAATCCAAGCTCTTTAACATCGCTTACAAGACCCTACAGGCTCTTTCCCTTGTTTCCTTCTCCAGTTTTCACTTTCCATAGCTCCCCTACTCTTACTCAATATATATTAAACTTCATTTTGTTCCTGGAATGTGTCATGCTCTTCCTTCTGAGTTTTTGAAGTCATGGTTCTCTCATTATGGAACACATGGTTCAGTCTTAAAGTCCCAATGTAAATTTAACATTCTTTAAGAAGTCTTCTTTCCCCAAATCACCTTTGACTGTCTCAAAGCCATAAGCACTGGGTGTCCGACTTCCAGCTTTCATGGCACCCTGCCGTAACCAATACATTTATCACACTTTACTGTTAGTGACTCTATCTGTATCCTCCACTAGACTCTAACTTTCAAGAGGCCATTAGAGTAGGCCTGTTTCTAACTTGTTCATCTTTTATCAGCAACCCTAAAATAGTAACTGGCTCAGAACTGCTCAATAAACATTGCTAAATAAAGAAATACAAAACTATTTTTAAAATTGATGACAAAGAGCACTTCTTGGGATGTGACTTTCAAAAACTAGTATTAGAGTGTGTGCTGTGGGACATACTTAAAAAAAATCTATAAAATAAAAAACTCTGTGTGGGTATCCTATTCATGGAAAAGTTACAAGATATTTTACTAGTTTAGTCAAGGCCCTTGCGGCCATAAACTAACTCTATGTGTGTAAATACAAGTTGAGACAATGACACTGTGAGGTAGGAAAGGCAGGTATTATTATTTTATCCTAATCTCAAAGAAATTACAAGATTTACCCCAAAGACTTCTAGGTCAGTATTTTTTCCAATTATAGTAGCCTAACTTAATGTGTTAGTCACCTCTGGTTAAATAAAGATGACACTACAACCAACTACAAGATGGATATGAACTTTGAACTGTTTACTAACAGAATTGCAGCCATCCACCCAAAGTATCTCTGTTTTTGTTCATGTGACCGCTGACATGAATGCATGAGGGTGGATGATGGAGGGCAGTTTGCTATAACAGGCAAAGCAGAGCTAACTGCCTCAAGAAGGGATCAATGCCATGGCCCTGACCTCAGCAGGTTAGGGTTTCCCAATCCTTTTTCCATGCAAACAAACAAACTTTACTGGAATACCGACAACATTTAGGAAAAGAAGAAAGGTGTTTAACTTCACATGAAGACACAACTCAAACATGACAGATTCTGGTATCACGGTTTTCTCTGTTCTAGGAATTTTACAGAAAGGTCAGTCTTGATCTATTTAAATCTGAAATGAGTGTCCTCATTTCAGAGAGTTTACTTTTTATCTGTAAAACCTCAGGACTCTTCCTATAAATAGCTAATGTCAGTATCAACATTCAGTACTTAAATATAGAGTTTTATCTTTCATGAAGTCGACTTTTGTGTGGATTTTGAAAACTCATGGTGAAATGCTGTTTTGATTTTCCCTGATGCCCTCCCACTGCTTCTTGGTAGTTTTATCTTGAGTCACCAGAATTTTGGCATCAGATTGCAGTGGGGCTGAGAACTGATGATGCAGCAGATGAACAGTCAGAGGGTAGTAGTGGAAAACACTTGGGATATCCTGACAGATCCAAGGCAACTATTGGCATGTAAAAGCTCTGATGTATATAGGCAGTTCTCAGCCAAAGTTAGGCAGTGTCATAAGGTAACTTAGCAACCGAAATACATGCACATACCTGGTAGCCGCTACCTTTCCAGAACTTTTTCATTTCCTTACGTCTCCAAGCAACAACTGAGGCAGTAATAAGTGTGCAAGGTACTAAATAGAGGAGAGCAGGTTGCCCCTTTTTCATCAGCACCAGAACAACAAATGTAAGTATCATGCCAACAGCATAGGCTGCAAGAAGAATACCAAGTATCAGTCATTTCTACATGATATCAAAGGTGGGTTTTAATTTCCTCACTGAAGTACTGCTTTTCAAATATTTCTGAGGATGTTTTCGCCCTGTGACTTCTTTTTCGTTATTTTCCCAGACGGTAGTTAGAAGAGACATTCCACAGAGCTTTTGAAAAATTTGGAAACTGGTGTGTATTTCAATTATAATTACCCTAATCATCAATCATTGATAAAGACAATAATTCAAGAAAGTCTCAATCATCTGTCACTATTAAGGATGTGGAGTTGTTCCGTATTTTAGAGAACTAACATCTGTGCCTGTAGGTACTAAAGGTTGCTTTAAAAAAATCTTCTTAATATTGATTATATACCTCCCGGTCTTCTTCAACAGAAAGTGCACACCAAACATCATTTGATCTTTTACTAGTGACTCAGGGTCTCATTATGAACATAAGATCTCAGAGCACTGGAGTTAGAAGGGCCTTCACAGACAATGTAGTCCCCTTCTCATTTTATAGATGCGGCAGCGGAGGACCAGCAAAGATAAGCGAGTTGTCCAGAGCTACACAGCAGGACTGACATCCTATTATCTGTCTTTTCACTGAGTGTTCTTTTACTCTACCACACTGACTGGTGCCAGACTCTAATATGTTAATGTCTTTAGAGCGTACCATACTTAATGGCCTCAGACTGCTTTTCTTATTTTATAATTTTTCCCCCTTTTACATCTTTTTACCTATTTAGCTGTTCTTTATTCCTGTTAGGGTAACTAGTTCTAGCAACACCCTTCTCTACTGCTAATGTATAGTTTTAATTTACTAGATTTAATTCTAGCGGAATTGAAAGATTTGCCAGAACAGTATCTGAATTGCTTTGCTGCAAGCCATTCACCAAAGAATTAAAGAATTTTGGTGTGTGAGCTTTGAGATATTTATTTGATATGTTCAAAAGTAGTATTTTTTGGCTTACTGTTGTCGGTAATTTAGAAATAAAGGGCTAAGTGACTACTTCTTCTGTCCCAGAGGAGATGTTACTGTGTCATAAATTTATTATATTAATACACAATTATCATACAGTATTTTTTAAAATCTAGCATAGTATAATTTATTGACTACTTATGTGTCATGTGCTCTAGTAAGCATTTTATATATAGAACCTAATGTTTTTCTTTCACACGTAATTTCCTTTTTAAACCTCAAAAACCTTGTGATATAGGTAATAAAGTATAATTATCTCTTTTTGATGGAAAAAGCATGTCCTATTAATTAATGGTGGAGTATTAGAATCCAGGACTCCTTATTTTCACACCTTTTTCTACAGACAACACAACTGACATAATAAAAGAACAAAATTTTACCAATTGTGGAGGAAATATAGTATATAGAAGAACCATTCTGAACATCAAATCTTCTACAGTATGCAATCAACAGGCCTAAAAAAAAAATTGCACGTGATTTTCTTAAAATAACAGCAACACAGACAGATTCAGCTGTTAACTACAGCAACAGTACATGTTGTATTGTATTTAATCTTCATTTTTGCATCATGAGAATATTAAAGTACTTCAAAATCTGGTCACAACTTTATATGCTTTTATTTTTCCCCCACTTAGTACCATATAATAAACATTTTGCCAAGCCATTAAACAGTCTTTAAAAACATGATTCTTATTAGCTGCTTAAGATTCCATGTCATGGAGAATTTTTAAAAAAATATTTCTGTGGTATCAGTTGTAATGTCTCCTCTTCCACTTATAATTTTATTGATTTGGGCCTTCTCTCTTTTTCTTGGTTAGTTTACCTAAAGGTTGTCAATTTTGTTTATCTTTTTAAAGATCCAACTTTTAGTTTTGTTAACCTTTTCTATTATTTTCCTGTTCTGTATTTGATTTATCTGCTCTCATCGTTATTGTTTCCTTCCTTACGCTCACTCTGGGCTTAGTTTTTTCTTCTTTTTCTAGTTTCTGTAGGTGCAAAGTAAGGTTGTATGAGATCTTTCTATTTTCTTGAAATGCTTATCACTATAAATTTCCCTTTGTTAACCACTTTTGTTGCTTCCCATAAGTTTTGAAATGTTGTGCTTCTCTTTTCATTTATCTCATATGTTTTCATTTTTCTTTTAATTTTTTCTTTGATCCATTAATTGTTTACAGTGTGTTAATTTCCATTTGTTTGTGAATTTTCCAGTTTTCCTCCTGTTATTGATTGCTCATTTCATGCCATTGTGTTCAGAAAATACACTCAGTATGATTTCAATCTTTTTAAATTTGCTAAGATTTGTTTTGTGGCCTAACATGATTTATCCTAGAAAACATTCCATGTGCACTTCAGAAATACGTGTATTCTGCTGTTATTGTATGAAATGTTCCGTATATATCTGTTAAAGTTCATTTGGTCTCTGTTGAGAAAACTTTTTAAATGTGTCATCAAAAAAATGTACTTAAGGAGTGTCAAGGAAGGTAACTTCAAATTGTGATCAAAGGAATCTCCCTTCCTAGTAAAATAAGATAATTTGGAATTTTAATACAAAGAGTTCAAATAACAATGAAACTTAAGTTCTCATTTGTAAGCATGCAAGTATGTAGAAACAACCCATTTTACTATCCATTTAAGAAATTTGTTGAACCTCTCCAAAGAAAAAATCTCAGATTGTATTTATTTAACACTGGTATGAAACAGTAAGAATGACATTTAACTGCTTAAAAATTATAAAATATTTTTACTATCTTTATAGATTTTTTCAATTAATTAGTTTTGGTTCCTACATAATTAATCAAGTAAGTTTCTTCATAGTTTCTTATTATTTTGACTATATTTGCTGTTTAATCACATTTCCATATGTTAGAAACAGTGGTACAGCCCTATCTGCAAATCAGAATGTAGCTTTTAGAATTAAGTCACATATTGTCAAATATTTCTGTTAGCGACCTTTGGGGGAAGTATTTCAGTTAGCGACCTTTGCAATTATTTTAAGAATGTAGTGTTTACATACTATTTTTGCCAATTCTGTGCTATGTGCTATATCCACGCTTTTTATGGCACTTGGTGTGGAACTGGTAAAATAAGTTTAAAGATATTCAAGAAACCTTAAGGTTACTCAGTAAAATGCTTCCTCTACTTTATCAGTTATGTGGATGGAGACTCACTGAATTAAGAGAGCTGCTACACTGGACTTTGCCATCCAGCTTACCTGGCAACACTGCTTCTCTCTCTCTACCCAGCTTTACTATGTCAATGAAAGGGCTTTTTCAGAAGAGCCGGTACTCTATCCTACCATAGGCAGGCAGTACATAAGGAGACTGTAA